CCATGGAAAAGCAGCATTATCATAGCGTGTTTTCTCATTTTATGCTATCATTAACTAATTCCTTCATGATAACTACCTTTTAAATGCGATTAGTTATTCCCCTCTGACAAAAGGCGTTTCCATCAGAAATGGCATGTTTTCATTGTCAGAGTTGTGAGTTTGATAGGTGTGAACCGCAAGTGAAAGTTAATCCCAATGTCAGATGTTCAAATATTGGTGGGTCTTCCCAATGTAGATTTTGTAGACATACAGCTAGACTTTTGTAGACAGCATCTGACGCATTCTGAGTTGGTGAATATATTCGTGAAATAACTGTTTTCAACGCTATGTCACTTTTGTAATCGACGGTAAAACCCATAATATCCAGTTATCTTTTTATTAGTTTAATTACCTGTCGTGGGTATATTTTAGTTGCCCTCATACTTCTTTGAGGTGCATAAGATCGTGCTTGGATGCAAAACATCATTTGGTGGGCTTATTTAGCTTGTGTAACGGTTGTTAAGAATGGTGGCTTGAACATGTAACCAGTGTCTCAATATGCGAAGAAGAGGGAACATTTGCTACAAACGCCCAGCCTCTTCCTCTGGAAAAGGCGGATGCTCTTTTGCAGGTCCCTCATGCCTGTGAAAGTATGTTTTTCATGATGTTCCTGAAAAGTAACGAAGGAAGCAGGATGCAGGTTCGTGTCAGAATACGTGGGCTTTTAATAAACGGTAAAAGAAGTCTTCAAATTCAAGCGATGACGTTTTCTTTCTCAGACATCAGCAATATTATTTTTGATATGTTTCGAGCTCTGTAAATAATCTCTCCTATCGGTTGATATCCCGTCCACTCGTATACGTCGTAAATCCTTCCAGCCTGTTTCAACTCGCTCTTGCCAGAAAAACAAAAAAAATAAGGAATCAGGCGCATAGCTTTTATGATGACTCATACCTTGAGATGGTATGATAGATTATGAAAGAAAGCTAGCTTATTGAAATTCTCGTTAATGCAATGTTCTTATAGTTGCAGCAAGTATTTACCGGAATATAAATCTACACATTGCTGATGTCTGCTTCTATTATTTTCCCTTTATTTTCTTTTTTAATTTTATGGCCATACCTATGCTGTATTGCTAAAAATTGGACTTTTTCCGTATGATTTAAGGCTTAAATACTGAAATTTGTTTTTGAGCTTGGTGCCTGCCAGCACTAGACCGAAGGAGACAACATCTGCTAAGCACACTGTTTGATTTCTTGTTGTCTTCAGATGTGTCCTGCATGTGAGGATATATTAACGTGCTAGTATACATAGTGTTCAAAGAGGTGGTGAAGTCTATTGATGCCATGAGGCGTCGCAGTCTTTGCTATAATTTCATCCTGGGAAATAAACGTTTTGTTCTTCACGCTGTAAACCGCTTAGCGGTACCGTCCATGGGCTTGAATGATAGGTCGAAATGTTTCACAATCAAGTGTGCTGTTGTTCCATTGTCCCGTACTGCACGAAGGAAGACATTCATCGAATTAATTATTCGCTTTAGGAAACTTCGCAAGTGTCACTTCTTGTACATAGGTGATATTACAGGAATCATACGTTGGAAATATTCTCTGCGTATACTCCTTGCTGATAACTTTTCTGTTCCTCACCGTTTCTTGGTGTTATATGTAGGAAACACGTTACTTTTGATGTTTCTTATTGTTTGATGCTCAGGTATCGGTAAAACAGTTACAACGGCCAGCCTAAAAGTGAAAACGTCAAATTGTATGTGACTGTTTCTAGCCAAGATGTATGCCGAACTTGCTCAGCAAAATCTTGCTACCATTTCCACCACTTTCTGCACTCGGCATATTGTACCATTTCATTATACACATGTACGCATTGCCAGGGGGAGGATTCTTCACATATTTCGGAATTTACTGTATTGAAAGATCCATTTATTTTTCCAGAAGTTTTTCTTCCATAATAATTAATATTCCTTTTTGATAGTTATTTATTTAAAATTATTTCCTAAATTACAATTCGTCATCGGTTATTATTTATAGGCATGTGGGCTCATGTTCTGACTGTCCAAGATTACGAAGAACTGTTGAATCGCGGGTGGCGTCGGTAAAGGCTGTTTTTTATCTGCATGTTTCATTCTGTAGTAGGAAACACGTACTTGTCGTTTTTAATATGTTAAAACAGCTCGCAAATGGAAAACAGAGCGAAGCATCGGTCTTCAATAATACCGTTTAGATGCTTCATCGAACTGTCTATGTTTGATTTCGATATTTCAAAATTATTTGCCTCTCTTTTCTTAGTTATCTTTACAGTTCTGTTCTGTCCTTCTTGAGCTGAATAGTAGCATTTGCAGTAGACAATTTGATCTGGAATTCAACTAGACGAAAATTTAGTTTCCAACGATTCGATTTCCTTTAGAGATAGGATTCTCATATTTTGTCTATAACCTCTATGAAACAGACTAATCTCTAGCAATGTATACAAGGAATTACGTCCGGTGGTAAGCTTCGCAAAAATGGGAAGAAGTTTTGTTATTTGAAAGCTTGTAAAGTTTACATTTGTCGAAATTCTGATTTGGTTGATAGCAAATTATGAATTGAAGCTTCTTCTGTCAGGAAGACAGAACACTTGTGCGTTGAAGTGCTTGAAATTTAGTGATATTGCGAACTTACCCACTCTGTTCTAAGTCCATTATTCCCGTCGAACTGCAGAGCAGTAACTTATGGAATTTTTTACCATAACCCGTGTCGTCTGCAAATCAGGTAAGTAGGAAAGTTTGTACCTGTTTTACTCAAAAAAGCACTCTTTTATGCCTTGTTTATTAAAATATACCTTGAAATGTCACGCTTTCGTTGACTGGATTCCAAAGCATGACAATTACCCTCCTTAGTTTAATCGAACCTTCGTTTTTGGTCTGCACTTTCGTCATTTTTTTACACGGCAGTGTATTTGGTGTCTCGGTAATTTATTTTCTGTCATATTTTATTCACATATCCACACTATCGCAGTTCGCACCGGTCCGTTGAGAGAAGGAACATGTCACAAGCGAGACTATCAGTGATTTTCTCTTGCAGAAGTTCATGGAGCTGCATCACATCGAAAGCATTGCGGGCGAACCTCATTTCTGCCATTTGTATTTCGAATCTCATTCTTCAGTCACTAGATTTACAACTTTGGGGGGACGGGTAGGGGGTGGGGGAAGATTGAATATAGTATTTAGTTAAGCAGATATCAAGACACGCAGTTTTTGCAGTGTAGTCCAAGTCTTCATCACCTCTGCTTCTGTTTCTACATCTTGTTTACATTCGATGTTGAATTGTCCCCTATGAAGCGTTAATTTCGTCGCCTACTTGAACTGTACTCCAGTAATTTTCACAGCACATTTAGTGGCCTTTCTCGAGAGAACAAAATCTGGGTCATGCTATTGTTCATCCTATTTTTATTGCATCCGGCTATAAGCTACATCCTTTTTGTGTATTGCACCTTTGAGGTCAGCGTAAAAAGAAGGAAACATAAGGAACTTATTTGCAAAAAGCGGATCACTCAGTGGAAAATATTCAACTATGACATTTATATTGCTCATCTGTATAAGCTCCGTGCCAAAGCAGAGTTGTTAAACGATATCTCCTTCTTGATCTTCGTCTTCCTTGACCGCTTCTCCGTTCGGTTCGCAGAAGCAGACGCATCAGACAATGCTTCCAACGTTCCTGATCCTGCACCGGAGTCGGAGCTTTGGCAGAAGGCAACTGGAGTCTGGAACAGATCCCTTCCATATATTTGCACCAGGTTAATATTGGCCATCCGATGGGCCTTCTGTAGGACGGTTTGTCACGAAACAGTTGCTAAACCTTCCTTTTTGAAGGCTTTCTCAGCACATGCCAAAACCATCGCAGCTGGTTTCTCAATCTGAAGAGGTAAACGGATATCACGGAAT